CAGCTAAAAAACACTGGTTCTTGCATACCTTGTTATCTCCCCCAGATACAGCTAAAATGCTGCCTGTGACTGACCAACTCACATGCCACACAACATCACCAAACTTCTTTACAACCTGCAGAGAAAACAAACACCATTATTTTATACATACTCATGTATGGAAAAGAAGACGTCTTTAATCATTATTTTTTTTAAGGTCTTGAAAACTGGAAACCTTATTGGAAAAATTATCTAGACTTTCTCGCAAAACCCCTTGCCAAACTCACTGTAATTCATGCAAGAAAACACTTAGTTGTTTTAGATAAGACAAATAGCCATTCCAACTTAGCCCATCCACATCAAATTGACAGCCAAACCCTTATTGGCACAAGAAATAAAGACTGAAAAAACTTAACAAACACTGAATTAATTATATTTAAAATTTTTTTGGATACCTTAGAAGTCCACGTTCCTCCATTAACTTCATCCTTTGTCCAGATAACAACACGACAATCCTGCATAAAAGTCCATTAAAAAAATTGTAAATTGCACATTCTTTCCTTTACTCTTACAGTAATAACACCTTTCAAGTTCCTTAGAACAATTTGGCCTCTGACAAAATTACAGTGTTTAATTGAAAATCCAAGGAGGCTTCATTTGGTAGCCATTAGCATTACAGTAACACATTTCTTTTTGGGATAATTGTGTCCTTTACATTCCTCAACTGAAGTAGGAAATACATCCTACACAGGCCAAATCAACACATGATTTTATGTCTTCTGTTAAATGCACAAACAACTTAACATCCAATGACTTAAACATACTGTACCTGAGAACATGTTGCTATGGTGCTAATAGGGAGACCAACATTAGGTGCCCAAGCAACATCTCTGACCCAGTCACTATGTGCTTCTAGTTTTTCCTCCTCTTCCCATTGGCCATCAACTTCTCTAAAAATAATAACATAAAAGACAAGAGTCGGGATTACACTAGAAATCTACTAAAAATTTAATGCCCCAAAATCAGGGTGAAAGGAAAGGCATACTATTCATGCAATTTTTCAGTCCTGCAGGTATTAATCCAAAGCTAGATCATATTGGTTTTTTCTGTTTGCCATCTTGGACTGACTGATGACACACATAGCCTTGATCTCACACAGGTATGATATCTATCCACCTCAATTTCATGCCAGAGCTTTAATATCAGGCTGACCAAATGAAGTCCTACAGGTTGACCAGCCTCAGTCTGGATGCCACAGTAGGATATGTAGATAATAACATGACATGAGTTACTGCAAATCAGAACTGTGAGCCACACTACCAATCAAAGTTCACAGGTTTAATCATGCCTTGGATTTTATCAAACAAACAAGGAGACAAAAATACTCATTCCTAGGCTTGAGCAAATGCATTTTATTCAACCATGATCATTACTTGTATTTGTGACTTACTTCCATACTTTTACCAAGTTATCACATCCCCCTGTGACAAATCTTTTGACTGAAGGACCGGACTTTGCCCCAGTCTAGTGAAAAAAGAAAAGGAGAAACAATATCCAGTATTCTTTGTGATTCTTTAAAAGTATGGACAACTACAGGTGGCAGGAATTTGTTGGATATAAGAACCAGTTCTGCCTCTTAAAAAAAGCTCCTTGGATAAAAATTTCTTTTTTGAGAGAGAGGGGGAGGGGTTATCTTACCTTCCATTAAGATCAAGAAGTGGTGAAACAGTTTCCTTTTTTTTTAAAGATTGTAGCCAAAAACTATTTCCCTGTGAATAAACACTGCAAACTACTGAAAAAATGTTGCAAACTAATGCATGTAGAGCCCAGAGAAACAAAAAAATTAATACCTTTCAGCCCCTTAACCCCTAAGAGTAACTAGGATCAAATTTCTCCTTACAATATCACCCCTGAATCATATATTAAGGTCACGAGAATAAAGGAAATGATCACCAGCTAAAAGAAACTCTTGATTGTTACACAAATTCTCCTTGTCAGCATCATAGGAAAGGTAAAGGAAACAGTATGGAGAATATGCATACTGATGTTAGGGTTTAAAGGGTTATGAAGACAACATGAAAATAATCATAGATATTAGAAACCCTTTTATTTAAAAGAAGTGAAAAACAATCACAACATTAAAATATTGTGGTAATTTTGTTACCTCAAATAATAACAATTTGTTTTTTGTTTGTTTGTTTTTTTTTTCCAGCTGTGTTGATAATGTAAATTGGCTGCCTAAAGAGTTTCAAACCTCAGTCCTTTGTCATTTGTCATTTGTCATGCTCCAAATGTCAGCTTTAAAAACTCTTTACCATGGACAGTTTATTTTATCAACTCAGTTGATAAAACCAAATCATCTCTTCATTCCCCCCACCAATGCAGAACCACATTTTTCTTAAAGAATCTTACCCCCTCCAATAACGTCCCTGGCACAACTGAAGGAGCCCAGCTAACAGCATTGCAACCAATCTAAACAGAAGAAAACAAGTCAGTTGATTAACAAAGACAAACAGTGATCAAATGCATCCTTTGCCATTGCCATTTCTTCTTTGTTTATTATTGCTGCTTTACAGTGTTTCTGCCAAACTAAAATAATATTTTTGTCATCCCCTTCAATATGAGATGTAGTTTTGTCACATGGTTTCTTTGACCCATTCACTTCCATGATCTAAATACCAATTCTCCTAACTTTTTGGCACTCTTTTCTTGTAATTTTAACTCTGAGATCTCATTTTCACATTAAACAATATATATTTGTTTATATTTTCTTTTGTCTCATCACTGATTGAAAATGTATCTGCAGTTATTGTAGGGAAAATTTTCTTCTGTGGTAGGGCCACCATTAAAGAAGATTCTTGAGCCAACATTTAAAGCATTCGCCCTTCATCAGAGCAAAGGATCTTTTCACAGTGACTACTTCACATCATTAAGTCTGTTGATTTCACTAATTATCTTGCATGTACAGTTGCTGCAATGGTACTTAAGTTAATTGAACAAATGTACATGACAATTACACCACACAGGATTACAAATAAGGCCCTGTATGTGAACAGCATCATGAGTTCATCTTACTCAATAGCTACATCTTGACAGCATAGAAGCATGCATGTCAAGAATAAACACAGCAATGAGTGTTAAAATTACTACAGCTTACTGTTGCAACAGAGCAGATTGTGTAACATCCATGTTTACATAGTGCATATGTTATTCACCAGCCAGGAGGTCCGTATTAGGAAAATTTGTGCCCACCTGATGGGCGGTACTCAAGACAGAGGGTACAGTTTTTCTCAGTACAGACCAACTTAGGCTGGTGAATAACATTTTGATTTTTTTTTTCCTTAAACTTAATGAAATTCTTTCTAAAAGAACCAAAATTATTTAGGGCTGTAATTACAGCAAGATCTTCCATAAACTGAACACTTTTTGAGCAAGTAAATGGTAGTTAAAATAGAGGTGATGCAAATGAAAGAGAGAAGCTTCAACAAAACATTTTCATTTGCGTAATGATAAAGGTGATTT